TAACCAGACCCAGAGAGTCATTGCTAATGGATCAGTGTCTACTTGGCAAAAGGTCTCTAGTGGAGTATTCCAGGGATTCAAGTTTGGGTCTCATGATTATATAATATGTGCATATTATATAACACATTAGCATATATGTATATAAATATACACATACGTTATCATTAACTTGGATAATGGTATAAATGATATGGTTATCTAATTTGTAGGTGACATAAAACTGTGAGGGATAGATAAAATACTGAAGGATAATTAGGCAAAATCTCATTAGAATGAATTCATTAGGGCAGCTCGGTGACACAATGGATAGAATGCTGAACCCGGAGTCAGGAAGACCTGAGTTCAGATGCAGCCATAGATACTTACCAACTATGTGACCCTGGGCAAATAAATTAACCTTAATTAGCTTTAGGTTTCTCATCTGTAAAATGGGCATGATAATAGAATTTACTTCCTAGAATTGTTGTGAGGATAAAATCAGATGATATTGGTAAACTTAAGGCAAAATCATAGTGATGATAATGGATAAATGTAAAGTCTTACACTTGGGTTAAAAAATTAACTTCACAAATTAAAAATGGGGAAGGCATGGTTATCTAGTAGTTTGTCTGAAAAAAAAAACCTTTGTGTTTCAGTATATTAAAGTGAATGAGGAAAAGAAAACATTTATGAAGTGCTTACTATGTGCAAAGCATAAAGCTAAGTTCTGGGAATACAAATAGAAAGCAAGACAGTCCCTCCTCTTAAGGAGTTGGCATTCCAATAGGGGAAGACAGCACAATTAGAAGTTTCAGCAGCAAGTCAAATGGAAAGGCATCATAGTCCTTAGAGTGCAGTGGTAAACAAGATCTTTAATGTTATCTCTATTGATAAAACTATATCCATTTTTGGTGTTGAACCAGTTGACAATGCCACGGACTTTTGTGGCAGAACTTTCTTTTCTTAGTATTTACTACTACTGATGAGGCAGGGACTGCAATACCTGCAGAAGCATTTGCCAGTTCATATATCCCCAAGGGTTGATGTCACGACAGCTGCTAGGGTTAGCATAGAAACAGACCTGGAGATTTGTGGCACTGCTGTCTCCATGGATAATGGGCTCAGGGTCTTGCACTGTCTCCATTGGAATCTTAGAGGAGGTGGTGGTTGAGATGTTCACGGGTGTTTGACTTGTCTCTTCTAATACATGGCACTTGTTTCCCTCTCGGTGTTCCTTGCTGTTTCAGCTAAGCTGGCTTGTCTATTTTGGTGGTAACAGTTGGTTAGCAGTTGATTGGAGATGGCTTGCCCCTTCTCCACAAGGGTGGCTTCCTTGGAATGCTGCCTGTGGGAGCTGTCCAGCAGCAGAGCCAGTGGTCTGGGGTACATTTCTTTTCCCGGAGTTCTTGGGCATACTGCAAACCCAAATATGAGTCAGCAGTATGATGAGGCATCTGAAGCAACTGTTGAGATCTTGGGTTGCATAGAGGCATAGTTTCAATGGAATAGGGAGGTCACAGTCCTGATGTATTCTGCTCCAGTCAGACCACATCTGGAGTATTATATTCAGTTCTGGGTGCCATAATTTAGGAAGGACATTGACAAATATGAGAGCATGCAAAAGAGGATCATTTGGATGATAAAGGGACTTCAGTCTATGTTATATAAGGATCAATTGAAAGAATTGGGCAAATTTTACTTGGAGAAGAGAAGGCTGAGGAGAAAGGATACAATGGATTCATTAAAAAATGTGAAGGCCTATTATAAAGGGAGTAGACTTGTTATGTTTGGCCCAATAGGGTCAAAATAGGAACACCAAGTGGGAGTTAGAAGAAAGCAAATTTAGGTTTGATATTAGAAAAAAAACATGTTTTAATTACTTATAGTTGCTAAAAATGAAATGGGCTGCTTTGGAAGGTAATGGACTCTCTATCATTTGAGATCTTCAAAAAGAAATTCTATTATCACTGGCAAGATAATTTATAGTGGGATTTCTTTTCAAGTATATGTTGGACTGCATGGCCATTGAGATCTCTTCTGATTCTAAAATTCCATGAAAAATAGTAAACTTAGGATTGGAATGCTAGTGAGGGTAGGAAGCATAAATATCTAGCAGTATCTGAGGAATTCTTTAGCTGTATCTGACCATTTCTGAGTTGTGGCAGAAGAAGATGGTAGGAGGTACCTATGTATCACCATGGTTAGTTTGGGAATGGCAGAATGAGAAAGCAGGGATTCAAGGGCGGAGGACATTTTATGGAAATGGCTGACTGTTGGGTCAAAAATGAGCAGGGTGAGTATTGAGGTCAGAAAAGGGTTTATAGTTTAGAAGAGTAGGGAATAATTCAGGAAACAAATATCACAGTAAGGGTGCAAAGTTAGTTTTGGAAAGAGGGTTGTGGTATTGGAAGTCTAAAAGGACTAAAGTTTTGGTTAGAAAGAAGCATTTCGTAATTGAAGATACTGAAAGAGGCATTTCAAGTAAAGGTCATGTCAGGAAGGTAGCTAAAATACAATGGAGATGGAATTCACAGGAGTCAAAAAATTCAGGGAATTGAAAGGGTTTTAGAGGGGTTATAATTGGAGATATCATTAATGTCTCTGAGAATGATGTCAGGGAAAAATATGGAGAAACCCAGTACTGACATCACTGAGTAATGTGGAGAGCAATTGGGAGGTCAGTAGATGAGGGAAGGAAGGATGGTGTTAACTTTAAAAAAATACTAAAGTGATGGAGGAAGTTTAAAGCTCTGGAAGAATCAGAGGGAAATAAAGGTCCAGACCCTGTGAACTGGAGCACTCAGGAAAAAGAGAGATTAAATGTTGCAGGGAATTTGGCATTCTGGTAGAAAGCCAAGTTTCAATTAATGTGAAGAGGTAGGATGAGTGTAAGAGGAAGAGAATGATGGGGAATTTTCTAGTAAAGAGATTGGGTTTCCAAAGGGCACAATGAAATGAGCAGGCAAAAGAGGAGGGACTTGTGGAAGAGTACAGACCTGAGGTGTATAGGAGTGGAGAGAAGACAGAAAATGCCCCATGTTTCAATTATAGAGATTAGGACATGGGGAAGTAAATTGGGAGGTTCCCAATTAGGGGAGTATGGAGTCAGCAGAAATGGATTAGATTATATTTAAGTGACCCCAATGTGCACTGAGAATCTCAAGTGTGGAAGCAGTGTATCTCTTCCCCCTGCCCCTGAAGTTTCATGCCTAAAAGGGACTATGGGATAGACAAAAGAGCCCATATCTTGGAAATGAGAGTTGAATGTGAATCTTGGCTTCTTTACTTATTAGCTAGTATGACCATGGGCATGTCACTTGACCTTTCTGTACCTCGATTTCGCATGAGAATACAGTTAAATTCATGAGCAGTTATTGACCAACAAAAGAGACACAGTTAGAGTAGGCTCAATAAATCAACTGGCAAATTTTCATCTAGCAGCCATCATGAGCTCAATTCTGTGCTGAACTGCTGTGGGGTGGCAGAGGGAAGTACAGAAGATCTACAAGACATAGGAGCATAGATCCAGAGTTGGAAGGGACCTTAGAGCCTTCTAGTCTAACTATTTCATTTTTAAGATGTGGAAATTGAGACCCTCAAAGTTTCTAACCTCAGGGAACTTTCAATCTAGTTGGATACACAATGAGGCCAACAAAACTTCATTCTAATGGATGGAACTTCTAATTTGTGTGAACCAGGCTCTAAATGCCCTAGAACTTCAAAGAAAGGGGAACTCATCGTGATCTAGAACAGTTGAAGAAGGCTTTATGGATGAGCTGAGCTTTGAAGGATATCTAGGGACTCTGCTTTTAAAATTGAACTTGCTTTGAAGATTTCTCTACGTTCATTACAAAAAGCACAGGATTACACAGAAAGTTAGGATGAGAATGATCAGAATTGTGCAGAAGAGCCAATGGACTTCAATGACCAGTAGATGGCAGAGTGACCTTAGATATTCCTCCCTCTGTGTAGTGGGGCCCCAACAGGTACCATTCTAAGTGCTCCTATTAAATGTCTTGAAGTCTTGTTGGCAGAAGGGTGTTTATTCCTGTACTGATCATCCTACACTGGAATTACCCCACACTGTCTCCTGAGCTGGTATCTCTGCCCTCTTCTTTACACTTAGTCCTTTTCCCCATTTATCTCAAAGTACTGCCCCCCGTCCCCCCGCCTCAGGATCAAAGGATTTAGAGCTGCAGGAGACCTTAGTGTTTATGTAGTTCAACCCCTCGATTTTCAGATATGAGAGTTGAGAAGATAAATGACTTGTCCAGGGTCATACAGGTAAATAAGTAGCAAAGGTGTGTTCGAATCTAGTGCTTCTGATTCCAGAACCTGTAGTCTTTTCATCAGACCATCCTCCTGTCCACTCAGCCTCTTGCTTGGGAGCTCCCCGCACTTTCCAGGCCAATTCCGGACCTAAAAGCTTCCGCTTTCTTCGTTTCCTAGCTGTCAAGAGGAGCGTGGCAGGTTTTGGGGTGCCAGAGGGTCGCGAGGAGAGGGGCGCCCTTCCACTTCTTCCGCTCCTCTACTTCAACGGGAAGTGGTAGGAGTGGGAGATTGAGCAGGTAGAGAGACTCCCTTTGGGACCAGCTGAGTATCTCCCAAAGAGGAGCCCTGCCCCAGCTCTTTCCTCTCTGGGCTTTTAACTCCAAGGCGGGACAAAAATTCTCCCGGGAGACAGGGCTGAAATTTCCTCCTAGTCTAAAATGCCCTGAGGAAGAAATGGTTCAGCTCCCGGAGGAGCAAAGAAAGACATCTCCCCTCCCCTGGATCCTGGCCCCCAATCTTTCCTTTCTCCCCCCCCACCCCCGCCTGGGAGTACTTTGGGGGCTTCAGCCCTGGGAGGAGACTAGGGGAGGAAACGCCTTCTCTGCCCCCCTCCCAAGCCCGGGCATCTCTCTCCCTCTCCCTCGTCCCCCCATTTCCTCTTCCTCTCTTTCCTTGCCTCCGCCTTCTATCCTCTTTCTCTCCCCCTCCCTCTTTCTCCCCCCTGCCTCTCCCCAGTCGACAGTCAGCTATGAAATATGTATCAAGTTAGTAAGTAGCAGCAGCAATTCCTGCCAGGGGCAGATGGATCGCTTTCATTTTGCGGAATGATTGCTGACACCCGACAGGATTTCCCTGGTTGCAGGAGCAGCAGCGGAGAGCCGAGCTCGACCTCTTTCTTGGGCGTGGAGAAGAGGCTGGAGGCTGCGGGCATGGACGGCAGAGGAGCGGGAGCTCCTGACTCCTTTTAAGACTCCCAACCCCCCACGCGGTTTCCAGGAACCCAGCCCTAAATAGACAAGGGCAGGTGGCCCGAGTGACCCGGCGGCACCCCGCCTCCGACCTCCCAACCTCTCCTTCTTGCTCTGCCTGCCGCCCCACTCTTCTTTTCCTTTTTATTATTTATTTTTGTTGTGCGTGAATTCTTTCCAGTGCGATGCTAGTGGCTCCCCGAACGAAGATTTTGACTGGGGATGTAGAAACAACAGTGGCATAATATGGGTGGGAATCACTCCCACAAAACTCCTGTGTTTGATGAAAATGAGGATGGTAAGTGAGGAACTGTCCGTGGTTCCATTGTCTCGCTGCCTTCTTTGCCTCTTGTCCACCGCTGAGGCGCTCTCTGCTCATTGCCAGGTGGGCTCTGATTGAGGGCTCAGAGGTTCACTTTCTACTCAAGAGGTCAGAATTTTGAGGCTGAAAGGGCTACTGTAGGCTTTAGCCGGGAAGGCCAGAGTGTGAGACTCCTGATAGGTTCAGGGTCTAATGAGTGTTTCTGTGCTGGGTGTGTGTCTCTGGATGCAGCTATGTTTTAAGCCTTCATTTGGCAATCTATACAGGAGTAGCTTAAATAGAAAAGAAAACCTTCTTCTGCTATGTTTCTTGAGAGGTGATTGAGGACAAAGCAAAACTCAGCCAACTGGACCTGTATTGGGGCCAGAAGCCAAACATCCTGCTGCAGTGTCAGGGGCACTAAACTGGGAAGTGGGTTCTAGCCCTAGCTTTCTTGCCAACTACCTGGGGTCTTTGGGCTGAGCCATTTCTTTTCTCAGGACCTCAGTTTCCCAACATGAAGCCAATTAAAATGATCAAACTGACTGACTAATGGCTAACATTACAGTGTGAAATTAAAAAAAAATGCATGGGCAGGCTTTTCCACATGTCAAAGGTGGGGATTGAAGTAAATGGAAACCATTTATTTCTTTACAATGGTCTAAAAACTCTAACTTTTTTTTATCCTAACCACTTTCTTTGGTGCTAGAAAGAACAGATATTTTGTTTTGGCAGCTTTAAATTTGTTTTCCTGTTTGTCTGCATTATAGCTTTTCCATAGATTGATGGGATATTTGAAGTTGTCTTCATCTTCCAAGCAAACTTTCCTTGGTTGAATATACTATTTTGAGCATGAAGGGACTTGCTGCCTAGATACAAGACACTTTGCGTGCTGGCAGGTCACAGGTGTGATAGCACATAGAGTAATGGAGCACAGAGAGGGTGACGGTTCCCTGGTTAAGGATGTTGTTTGCTTTTAAATCTTAAACTTCTACATGCACGTGGGGGGTGTGAAGCATATGGCTTAAGACAGCACACTTTAATGGCAAATCCTCCTCCTCTTATGCCTATTGTGTGCACAATTCCATACTGAAAGACGATATATTTTACATACAAGGAAACCATGTTTGACTAAGAAAACTTAAGTGAGCTTTTTTTGGGGGAGGGAAGTAGAGTAATTAGAAATAATTTAATGAAAATCACAGGCAAATTAAGAATTCTTATCAGCTGAACTTAAGCAGACTGGGATAATGAAATTTCAGAGGGAGAAAATAAGTTGTTTTGGTCATTGTGTTTTTTGCATTTATAACAAGATTCTTAGCCTTTCTGTGTCATGGACCCCTTTGGCAGTCTGATGAATCCTATGGATCCCTTCTCAGAATGACGTTTTTAAATGCATAAACTAAAACACATAGAATTATAAAGGAAGTCCAGTTACTTTGAAATACAATTATATAAAGAAGGTCACAGACCCTAGGTTAAGAGCCCATAATTCTTATTTTACTAAGATTGTTGTTCTTAAATTTTTTGGTAAAACCTGAATCTGATTCAGTTCAAATCAGTTTAATCAGTCTGTATTAAGTATCTACTCCATGTAAAACATTATGTTAGGACCTGGGATACAGAGTAGCCTCTTTCCTAAAAGTGTTTTCCTTTCTACAGAGATTTCCACCCCCAAACAGTGCTGATTAGCAACTCCTCAGTACTTTCTAGCCTTAAGGAGTTTCCTAGAGGCCCTGAGAGGTTCGGTAATATTTGGTTGGTCACCTAGTTAGTGTGTATCAAAGACAGGACTGGAACCTAAGTCTCTGTCTCCAAATTCAGTCCTCAATTCCCTTTTCCAGGCTGCACTTCGTGTAATATAAATTAAATCAGAAGATACTTAGCCTGGATTATGTAGCACAAATGATTGTATTCCTCAGTCTGGTCAAAGAAGGCTGCTTAGGGTTGAAAAACTCTAGCTAATTTCCTAAGAGTAAAAAAAAATTCTTTGTAATGGAACACTGTTATCCTTTAGATACAGGAATAAGAATTGTACCTGTGATTGCATTAATATAGGGAACTTGCTTATATTAACTCCTTCTACCAGCACAGGTCTTCACCTTCTTCAATTTAGAGTCTTAGAGGTTTATTTAGATTCCAGGCTATTGAGATGGTAAATGATTTGCTCAGGCACACTAATAGAGGCAGGTCTTGAATCCACGTCTTCCTGGTTTCAAGATCAGCATTTTATCCATTGCACCATGCTGTCTCTCATCTTTCAGGAAGGCAGTGCTAAATATATAATAGCCATTTGTTGCCAAACTATTTCTTTGTCAAACCAAGTGTTCTTTTAAAAAATTCTTTTGTGACTCATTCTAAAAGCTGTGTAAGTTACTTGTGGTGGTTGAGGTTGACTATCTATTCAGTGGCTTGTAAAATACAAAGCTAGAGCACTCTTCCTCCAGCAGAATTCCAGCTCCTTGTAATTCCTCACTGCTCAAATATTAGCTTCCTCCACCCTCCATTCTACCAGAAACATCAGGTTTTTCATTTACTTTCCTGTCAGTGGTAAGCACATAGGACACTAGAGTCTATTACTATCGCTTCCCTCATGCATTTTCACTATAAGTGGTATGAAATGCAGTTGAAAAGGAGTAAGAAGAAGTACATAGAGGCCAAGGATGGCTTCATTTATATGTAAGGGAGGGAAAGTAAAGTGAGCTTGTAAAATTGGTTTATGTTTTTCTGATCCATTCTGTAATGTATCAGAATTAGGACAAAAGCTGTCCATTATAGTAGGTTGGGCAGTACCTGATCTGTCAAAATCTTGTGTAAGTTTAAAACCTAGGGGTTGCACTTAATGTATGACTCTTATTATTTTGAATCTGATGTTATTGTAGGAAAATACTAAGACTTCTTAGCCATGGGTTGCTCTTTGCTTTAAGTCTTGAAGGCTGCAAGAATAAACAAATTTACTTATTAAAGAGATTGTCATCATTCTAGGGTGAATATTCAAATGCCAGGATGATTTTTATTCCTGGAGATATTTTGATATTTCAAAAGGGGTATTATTTCCATTAATGTGGAAACTGTCATTGTTGACAAAGGTTTATAGCCCTTTACAGCCTTAGAAGACAGCTTTGTGAATTGGCTAGGGACAAAAGCATTTATCACTTAGTGACCCTCCTGGTGAGGAGCCTCTCTGTGGTGAGTTAGGCTGTTCCTCAGATGACAGACTTATCGCCAATCACCAGGCCCATTCTAGAAATCTTTTCAGTTCTGTAGGGTCTTCCAGAGCTTGTGTTCCATTGACATAGCCACCAAAACCATGCAATGAGGAGGGATAGGAACAAGATGGTGGTGGAAGACACTTGTAGATATAGAATAGTAATTATCTGATGGAAGCAAATCAATCAACAAGCATTTATTAAATGCCTATTATGTGCTAAGCTTTGGGAATAGAAAGAATAAAACCAACTAAAACCTCATTACTGCTGTATTACATAATGCATAGTAGATGAATGAATTCTTGATGACAACACTTTAAAATGCCACTATAATTGTATAAAGAGGTAGAACTCATGCCTTGATATATGGACAATGATTTGCTACATAGGAAGTTGACTGAATCTCTCAGCTACTCATGGAAATCAGTCTCCTCATGATTTTCTAGCCTTACTTCTTCCATAAATCTGCTTTTAACTAAGAGATTGAATAAGGCAAGTGACATTGGTGAGCATAGAGAAAGGATGACCATTCGTCCTTGCTTCTAGGGACTGGAAATTTGAAAAGTTGAAAGTATTATTACTAAATACACTCAAAATAATTTCAGTTGTGCTGATCTAAAAAATATTTGCACTAATATGTCACTGTAGAAGTGAATTGATAAAGTAGTGTTTTAGGTAATAGTATAGACCTAGGTTTATATATGTGGATATTCATTGTTGAACTTGCAAAAATGTAGATATTTCTTATTAAGTAAACTTTTATGTACAGGGAATTATGCTAGATGTTTGGGGAGAGTAAAAGATAAGAAAATATGCTGCTTATCCTCATATAAATTATTATTTTGATTATTAGTTATGCTGATTATAGCTAACATTCATTTTGCATTTATGATTAATGAAGTATATACACTGTCTGTTTTGATCCTCAAAATAACCCTATATAAAAGTAGTACAGATGAGAAAACAGAGGCTTAGAGAGGATAAGTGACTTGTTTATTGTCATGAAGCTAGTCAGTATCAGAGTCAGTATTTGAACCTGGGTCTAATTAATTCAAATGGAGTTCCTTTTCTACTTTAACATACCTCCCTAATTATAGCAGGAGTATATAATATACATATAATTAACTACAATACAAAATAAGATACAAATATATTAAGGTGTAAAATAAGTGCTTTTTGATGTATGGGTAGTCTAGGAAGAGTATGATTACCTATTGGAAGGATTCAGGAAAACTTAATGGAGGAGGTCACATTTCACTTGGACGTTAATGAACCTTTGTTCTCGAAGAGGACCATGCCATCAGGGAGGTGATGCCATGACATGCAGTCGAATTTGATTTGAGGAAGGGAGGGCCATGTAATGTCACCAGCCTCACTTTCTCCTCCAGAGCCATCTGGGTCCAGTGGCAAGATACACATTGGGATGACTGGAGATGGCCCAGGATGCAGTGGAAGACCTTGGCCTTTTTAAGCTAAGCTCTCTCATTTTAAGCTAAGTTCTCACATTGAGGTATGGGACTTCAATAAGAAGAGGGAGATGGAAAGATGTGGTAGGAAAGGAAATGGGATTAGTGAAGCCAGAAGTAAGAAATCATAGGACCTCTAAGATTTGAGTTCAGATTGACTGGAGGCCACTGGGTGAGCACTGGCCTAGACTTTCTCATGAAATTTCTTAGGGAGAGATAGAAAAGACGTGGTGGTAGCTTGATGGAGCAGGCTGAGGCAAGACATTTTTAGGACTGAGAAGATCTGAGCATGTTTGTAGAAAGATGGAAAGTTGCCAGTGAA